AAATGGTAAATGCATGACTGCAGGATGCTGTGATGACATAATTGCGAGTCAATTGCCAAGCGCCCAAATTGCAATCATGTGACCACAGGGATGCTGTGATGGCCACAACTACGAGGACCTGTCATAAGTTGCTTTTGTTCAGCGCTTTCAAATCTTCGAATGGTTGCTGAATGAGTGGTCGTTCAATGAGGACTACCTGTAGTCCAATCAGGAACTGACTGAGGCATGGATGATGGTGAGCAGGTTCTCCTGATCTAGAAACAGGCACAACTACACACAAGATCTATTTCTGCAAAGGCCCTCCTGGCCACAGCTGCCACTTGCTCTTTCAGGAGGAACCATGAGTCCAGGAAGACTCCCAAATAGCACACCAGCTCTGCTGGGGAAAATTGCTCCCATGGGGATGTGAGGGAGGTGAGACTTATGGAATTTATGGCAAGAAATTAAGGAAGAGAGGCCTCTGAAATAAGGGAGCTGGGGCCTCTGAAAATCCTTGATGGGAAATGAGGGAGGTGAGATGAGAAATGAGGAAAATGTGACCTTCAGGCATTTATGGGGAGAAATAGGGGTGGAGGACTTCTGGTGATGAGATAAAACCTGTGAAATTCATGCTTGGAAGTGAGCTACGTGAGACCTCTGACAATTTGTGATGAGGAATGAGAACTAGTCTCACAGAAATTCTGCTCTTCAAACTTCTCTGCCTGGTTGTAGAATGTGCTTTTCTATGGATTTTTCCCAACTGTGGATCTGCAGCCACTCCTGGGTGTCATCTTGGCTCCTGATAAGCTTTGGGGCTGCCTTGCTCCCTATTACTTTCCTCCAATCCAAAAACCAGACAATACTCCAAGAGCTTGGATGTGTGTTTCAGGAATCAGGACTAAAATGATTGTGATTATGGAGGGTTCTTTCTTACCTTTAGATGTTTCTTTCAGGGATCATTTTCTACTGACTCTGCCCACCTGACTCCCATTCAGTAAGTGGCTGGCCTCAGTAATCGTCAACGTCCCTCAAATGGGACCAGGGTAGAACATTTGAGACTCCCTGGTCTTGGTGGTATTTGACTAGGGGATTTCTCTTGTTCACCAGCAGGAATCTTTGTAGCTGGCTGGTTTCACAGAAAAGAGCTACTGTGTCCCAGTATCCCTTGGGATTCTCCCACTATCTCTTGGGCAGCCTCTCCAGATTCTCTCATCCATGGGTTCCTGGTCTGCTCATGCAGTTCTCATTCAAACCAGTACATTTTCTAGGAAAACATTTGGCCAAATGTATTTCCCAACCCATGTTAGGGGGACAGTTTTTAAGGGATGGGGCAGGCAAGGAGATCATTTTGGCTCCTGATTTTTCTGCAAAGGTGGGACCTCTCTCAACTTTCTTGGAGATCTTGTTCTCCAAGGTCCTCTACAAAAGCTACGTGGGTGAGTGAAGCAGAATGAGGCAGAGAATTGACTGAATTAAGAGTTTCTCTGGAGTCTCTGGAAAGCGTGACCTCTAACCAAGAATTGGAACCTAGATTTGTTCCCCAACCTTACCCCAGTTTCATTTGTTTTGTGTTTGCGACATGGTTTTGTGGCTTTACACTGATGTCCTGCCCTACTGGCTTGTTCTATTTTTAAACATTGCTCCATCTGTAGGATTGGCAATAGGTGTGCGTGTTTGGCTGAAGAATATGACTTCTGTTATTTCTTGGGTTTATTGCAGTTACCTTGTGGGGGATGAACTGTGGGTTGTCATGGAGTATTTGGCTGGCGGCTCGTTGACCGATGTAGTGACAGAGACCTGCATGGATGAAGGACAGATAGCTGCAGTGTGCCGTGAGGTAACAATTTTAATGAATATATGCGCATTCACCACCAAAGACATAATCTTGCTTTGAGAAGCCCATCAACGAAGTTCATCTGAGGTTATCAGAGTCGGAAAACTTTGCTGATCTGTTACAAACCACCAAGGATCCACTTCTCAAGCTCAACCAGTCTTCTGTCTGATCTTGGATTTAAAAAATGTTAAATTTGTGCAATTTGTAGCCCTTTCATACCTGTCAGCCTTACAAGGCAGACCAGACAGGAAACACGACCCGATGAGCTAATTCTGCTTTATTGTAAAGCTACATTAATAGAATCTTGCAAGTCTGAAAGTACAGTCTAGTGGTGAAGGCACCAGGCTAGAAAGCAGGAGACCATGGGTTCTAGTCCCTCCTCAGGCATAAAAGTTGGCTGGGTGACTTTGGGCCAGTCCGTCTCTCAGCCCAACTCACCTCACAGGGTTGTTGTAGGGAAAATAGGAAGAGGAAGGAGTATTAATTTTGTTCGCCACCTTGAGTTATTTATAAAAGTAATAAAGGCAGGATTAAAAAAAAAAATCTAAAAAAATAATTCTCCCCCCGTCTCCTTTACGGCCCAAGAAACTAGGGATGGTCCCTTCTGGGGTGTTTGCCATGCCCCCATTCCTTCTCCGAGCTCAGTTGCCTCTTATCTGACCGCTGTCTAGTCTGTGGCCCTTCCTCCTGTCTCCCAAGGTCATTCCCACATACCTTTACATCACCCTGTCTTCCTGATAACTGTATCATGGGTGTGTTGGTTGCTGGGAAATGCATAGACGCACCTACAGACACACACCCTCTACATCTATGTTTGCTGTTTCTCCATAGTGCCTTCAGGCTTTGGAATTCCTTCACTCCAACCAGGTCATCCATCGGGACATCAAAAGTGACAACATCTTGCTTGGAATGGACGGGTCTGTCAAACTAAGTACGTGGCTTGGGTGATTGGTGACAATTGCAGGCTGGGGGATGTTTTGCCTCGTTGGTGGACCCTAATTAAGTAATAGGGGCATAACAGTTAAGGCTTCAATTTTAATGAGAGCCCTAGCCCAAGCGGTCACAGTCCCTGAAGTGTTTGACAGTGGCCCCAGCCAGGGGGTCTGTAGGATCTGGCGCTGTGGTCAAAATGGCGAAAAGAGTGTTTGTTGTTCGTAACGCAGGCTTTGTGATTTTGGACATGTGTATAACACAATATGTGTAGAAAAGGAGTAGAACTTGTATCGAACCATTGTTTTAGGCATTTGGCCTTCCTTCACACACACACACACCCTTGTCTGCGGATGCCTCTGATCCCAACACGGCGATCTAATATTAATTTTCAGTGGGCCCAAGATGACAAATGATTCGTTGCATACAGAGAGAGTCGTCGTATTAATCACACTTCATTTGGACCTGGCCTGTTTGCCTGGTCTTAACCTTGATACCTCTCTTGAGGGCCCCATGTGGCCCTGAGTGGGAGAAAAGATGTATATTTTTTGGTGATCTTCTCCAAAGAAAGAGAAAAGGAGCCCATGGTGGCTAGAAGTTCTGGGAATTGCTATGCCATCATGGGGGCACCAGATTGGGAAATGCTGCGGTAGATCAACCTTAGTGTGAACCTCTTTCCTTCATTCCTGTTTGTTTCCTTTGTTCTCCCCTTCTTCTCCCCCAGCTGATTTTGGCTTCTGCGCCCAAATCACTCCTGAGCAGAGTAAACGCAGCACCATGGTGGGGACGCCATATTGGATGGCTCCCGAAGTGGTAACAAGGAAAGCCTATGGCCCCAAGGTGGACATCTGGTCTCTGGGCATCATGGCCATTGAGATGATTGAGGGGGAACCCCCGTACCTCAATGAGAATCCCCTGCGGGTAAGCTTTGGACTTCATTGATGTTTGTCCTCTCCTCTAATGGAGGGTTCATAGTATTTTCAGATGTGTTCCCATCCAGATTCCGGCCAGACCTAACCCCACTTATCTTGGACAAGTTGCTGCGCCTCAATGGGGAAGGTTTGTAGGGGAAGGCTCCCACCTTCCAGCCTTGAATTACCAGTTCCAAGGAAAACAGGATGGAAAACATTCTCTGCCTAGGGAGACACAGCAAGTACTGGATGGAAATACAAGGAGGCGTGTTTAAATGGCCCAACAAGCAGAGATCGAGAATGGTTGTTCCAGCTGGTTTTTTCCTGCCATACATGGATCTTAATGCTCGTTGCATCCCTTAGTTGCAGTTTCCACCAATGCTAACCAAAGAAAGGAATCTGACATTATCTGCCTCTTGTTCGTTTCTGTAGTGGACAGTAGGTGGAAGTCACAGGCAGGAGAGGCAACGGCTGGGTATATACAAGACTCTAAACCGTATTGCTCCCAACCTGGACATCTTCCAGATGTGTGGACATCAACTCCCAAAATTCTCGACAATGGCCATGCGGGCTGGGGAATTCTGGGAGTTGAAGTGCAGGATTTGATGAACTTGCTAAGGTTGGGAAACACTACTCTGCACCCTGAATTTCAGATAACAAAATACAGTTGTTGGTACATTTTATATGCAGTGCCCAAGTACAGCATTCCGTGGCTCATGCAACAGGTTGAGAAAATGGCTGGATTCTCCCCAGCACATCGACCATCTTTACCCAAACCTCATTTTAACCTAGTCGAATGTGTTGTACGAAAGCTGCCCCTAACTGTTAAAGAAAGCCGCAGTGGGAAGATGATTTGAGAAGCCTTAAAAAGCCTTTTGGAAAGGGATGAAGGGAGGTGGCACCTCTCCCAGTTGGGGGCACTCACAATTAACCATAAGCTATGCATGTCATGTTGCCTGACTGCAGCCACACTCTGACCTAGTTTAAAGGTCATCTTCCTTTTCCTCCATTTCAAAAGTTGCCTTCTTTACGTCTCTTCTCTGTGATGCTGACTGAGGTTTCCTTGATGAAATATTCTAGGGTGCGAGGAAATTCCCTGAGCATCAAAATAGTCTCTCTGGAGGAACCGTTTATCAATTAACCTTGCTAGGGTTGTGCAAAATATGCTGTCTGTGAGCTGTTCCTTGCACAGAATAACTACTCTTAGATGGTCTCTCTCTGGAGTGACCTGCGTGTTTCACCCAGATGTGGATTTGAGATGTGTGTTCTGAGTAGGGGTCTTCTGTGTCTTGTGGGGTGGGTGAGAATGGGGCCATAATCTCCAACATCACTGGTGGCAGCCCAGAGTTAGTGAAAAGAAGCTGCTGGAAAGATTGGGGAGAGGTTGAGTGATGAATGAGATGTAGGAATAACCTTGAGGAACAGGAGGAAGAGATGCAAGACTGATGTCTGAAGTAGACAAGACTGCTTTTATTATATAAGATTACAGTAACAGAATCTTATAAATCTGAATGTGCCTCTCCACTCCCTCTCTTTATCTTCACAAGAACTAGGGAAGGTCAAGCCTGAGACACTTTCTCAAATTACATTTCTGCCCTGGACTCAGATTTCTTTGTCTCGGTTGCAGCTATTCTTCCTGTTCCTCAAGGTCATTCCTATGGTCCATTACAGGTGGCTTGGATATACCATACTTGGATGATGGTGGCAGTTGGGAAATACGGAAAAGAAGATGGGTTGGTGGGCTCACAGGCCACGCAGAGGAGAAATGCATGTTAGTCCTGCCCTATTGACCCTACAAGATCCCCCCACCCCCAATTTTTTTTAAAGGTGAAACTGAGAGCAACCTGAGTACTGCTGTACTATATCCCCTTCTGAATGCTTTGGCAATTCTGCTTTGTGCACAGAAAAACACATATTTTCCTCGGGGGGGGGCAAATTTTTCTTCTGGAGTGGCAGTTGATCTTGTGAACTCTCCCATCTGTAACCTAGTTTGGCATACTCCAGATCAATATAGTTCGTAGGTGTTCTATGCAATCCATCCTCAGCCCAGAACCACAACAGTTTGCTTTGCAAAGGGAGAAACAGTGGCTACGTTTGCAAATTGTATTTGGACTGTGATTCACAAGAGTATAATTCTGATGCTCTGATCCCCCTCCTCTCCCATTGTATGATGATGTGACATTTCCTTTGGCTTTTCGCAACACGAGCCTTTGCATGAAATCTCTCTCCGAGACTTGGGCCTAAAATAAGATCAGCAATTCAAGCTTCGGTTATGTTTATTCTTCCTTTTTTTTTTTTTTTTAAATTTCAGGCTTTGTATCTCATTGCTACCAATGGGACCCCGGAGCTGCAAAATCCAGAGAAACTCTCACCCATATTTAGAGACTTCCTTAACCGCTGTCTTGAAATGGACGTGGAGAAGAGAGGTTCTGCTAAAGAGCTTCTCCAGGTAACATTGTGATTCAAAGAAAGGGAGACAGAATTTAATGTATTCATTGTATTTATTTTTACACAATCTACATAGCCATCCATTTCACACTACAGTGAGTTGAGGTGACAAAGAGAACACCTTATACAGACAGTCCTCTATTTATAAACTTTCGAGTTATGAACTTTCACCGATACAAACAAACCTCTAACAACTCCAACAATGAAGGTCCCAGAAGGAAGGTCCTGGAATTTTATGATGTGTGTGCATATCTACGCTCAGAAGTGTACGCCACATATACAGTATTTTGCCCCAGAAGGCCACAGTGCGCATGTGTACATATGTATGTGGTGCTCCGTGATTGGACTTACAAACAAAATGGACTTACAAACAGCCTCTTGGAATGTAACCTGTTTGTAAGTAGAGGACTGTCTGTAATAACAACCAAAAATAACAACAGAAGCCTAAACAAGGGGCGAGGCCTAAAAACATGCTGCTTCTAGTCATAGGAGTAGAACCAAGAAGATCAGCCAGCTGGGCCCATTTAATCTCCTGGCCCCAAAGTCTGGAGGAACCACGAGGTCTTTAATGACTTCACGAAAGGCTAACAAGGTTGGGGCCATCTGGATCCTTGGAGGAATGTTGTCCTGTAGGACAGAAGGTCAAATACTTTATGGTTCTGTGCTTCATGTATTTCTGTGATTGCAGCTTGGGTCATGCCGTGACCTTCCTAAGCAGCCTGCCTTTACTGGAATCTCTCTGGTATCCTTTGTTGGCAAAGATCAGCTGTTGGGGCCACAGCTGTCCATCCTCCTCCCTTACACAGTTACAATCTCAGAGGGGTGAGATTAAACCAAGATTCATGCCTTTGACACAGAGAAGAACTAGGTCATAACTCCCCACCGTCTTGGGTAGACATTGCCAGGAATTAAATCTCTGTTGTAAGGTTGGAATGACAGCCTAGTGTGGCTGACAGCGATAGTCTCTAAGGTGGCTGGAGAGATTGTACAGCATTTCTAGCCAGTCATATCTCAAATCCTGGATACTCTTTTCTGGTCGTGTCCTCTCTGAAATGAAGTCTTTGGTTTCCCTTTCTCAGCCTCCTTCATCATTCCTAAATGGTGTACAAATGAGTTGTTTTTTTAAAAAAGGCCTAATAAACATATTTCAATGAAAAATATCCCCACAATAGTGAGTGACTGATCGAAGATGCACCATCAAGGCAGTGTCAACTCTTAGCGACCATATAGATAGATTTTCTTCATCATGAGTGTCCACCGCAGAGGAAATGCAGAGGTGACCTGGCCACTTTAAGGTGTGTGGACTTCAACTCCCAGAATTCCCCAGCTGGGGAATTCTGGGAGTTGACGTCTACAACATCTTAAAGTGACCAAGTTTGAAAAACGCTGGGTTAGATGAACCAGTCTTTTCCATTGCCCATACTTCTGCCTTTCTCCCCCTCTTTTCTAGCACCAGTTCCTGAAAATTGCCAAGCCCTTGTCCAGCCTCACCCCTCTGATCATTGCAGCGAAGGAGGCAACGAAGAATAACCACTGAACCGCACCAACTGGTCCGAATCCTCCTGTTCACGTGTTTGGTTTTATCCTTCTGGGGTTCCTTCCTTCCTTCCTTCCTTCCTTCCTTCCTTCCTTCCTTCCTTCCTTCCTTCCTTCCTTCCTTCCTTCCTTTTTTTAAGAGACAATTTTAAAGCGTTCATCTCGCAGGATTTCTGCCCTGTGCAGAAGCCTTTTAATCTTTGGTGAATCACAATGGAGGTAATTTGGACTGAGGATTCGGAAGTAGACGTGCGGCGTGGAGTGACTCTGAACTCGGGAGCTGTGTTTGGAGTGGAAGAAGCGAGAAGCCTAGGAAAGGATGTGAAAAGCTGGGGGGTGTTCCCCAACGAATAGGGTTCTTTATCTTTTAATGAACTGATTTCAGAATGAAAGAGAAGAATATTACGCAGATGCTTTTTAGATGATGTTTTTCCTAAGCAAGCTCTAATTCTCATTGCCTAGGCATCCTTTTTACCTCTCTGAGAGCCTGGTTCTTAAACTACTGAAAGATTATTTGAATTACTTGAAAACTAGGGCAGGCAGAGAGAGGTTTGGACTGTTTTTATACTCTCGAGAAAAAGAGTTTTTTCCCCCTCTGGGGAACCACTGGATGTTTGGACCCAAGTCTGCATGCGTCAAAGAAGAGGTTGAAGTAGTTAGGATGAACACCACCCCCACCCCTTTTTGGAAGATTAATTAATCAGTGATCATCATGCAATGTGTTTGAGGTTTTGTGTGCGTGTATGTGTGTGTTTATATGCGTATGTGTGTGTGTGAGAAACAAATTGTCCTCTGATTAAATTCCTGCGGCTATTTCCCGTCCTGATCTGCAATCACTGCAATCCAGTGCCTGTTTGATTCATAGATTAGAAAAATCCTTTCCAGATGTATTGGAACTTCAGTTCCCAGCATGACCCGTGGCCAGAGGGATTATGGGAGTTGAAGTCCAGGGCAGCTGGAAGGCATTGGGTTGGGAAAAGCTGATGCAAGTGATCTTGGTTTCTATGATCTCAAATTAAATGATACAGAAACTTGCTCTTTTGGCCCTTGCTTAAGAAATACGGCTGCAAAAACTCTGAGAAGGCAGTGAAAAAAAGGGGGTTTGGTTTTTTTTGTATTTCTTTGCTGCCCCTTAGCCCTAGTAAGGAATATCACATTTCAAAATTTGCAAAAAATGTTTCTGCTTTATACCAGGACTGGTCTGTCTGGTTCTGTGAGCAACTGAGAATTCAGTCTTTACAGTCCCAGCTGCAGCCAAGCGTCAGCATGCTAGGAACATCTGTCACTTTGTATAGAAAAGAACTTTTAATTAGTGTGATATGAAAACGGTGGATGCAAAATCAGCAAGTTTGAATAAACTGGATCGCAGATGTTTTACACTGATTGGTTTGTAAAGGCAAGAACGTTAGAAAGCAAAGCATAGAAATGCATGGAAAGCAAACCCGTATAAAAAGCATCAAGCAATCCGTGGATCAAGCTTGTCTTGCAGTTTCGATTTCAGGAAACACCCTCCTGCAAGTGCTGAAAACAGAGTAGCCATTGTGTGCCGTTGTGACAGGAATGAGTATTCCCGAGCATGAGCAGAGAGTTCTCTCTCCTGTACCTTGACAGGACGTATTTTTTCACATTTCCTACCTTTGTTATCACGATGAGCACTCGAGGTGGTTAACAGCATTCGAAAACCAAAGCAGAATATAAAAGTTAAAGCTATAGATTAACACAGCAACCAAACCGATAGGTGTGCAAAATGTTCTGTGCACAGAACAGCAGGTTTACATATACATATCCCATCTGAATGTGGAACATGTGTTAGATCCAGGCACAGGCTCTGCATACACACGTTTCAGGCACAGATGTTCTGGAGTGGGAGGAGTCACAGGGACAGGTGAAATCAGCAGTGATGGTGGAGAGAAGGGAAGGAGCTAGGAGAGTTGGAGAAAGGGAAGGGTATTTGTGTTATACTCTGCTTGAATCCAAGCTCTGCAGTGGTTCTAATGTGGGGAGGATTGAGAGAGGAGAAGGGGACAAGACCCCCCAGATGTGCTCTACTCACTCCACAAGACCACCTGGAATTTCTCTTGGGCGCAACTTGGGAAAAGCAAGAAGCTCCAGGGTTGGGTTCATCTGGATTGCAACCTCCTGGAACAGGTCCAGCTGAACCTAGGAAGAATGGTGAAAAGAACCTGAGAAGGCAAAGCAGACATGATAGCTGTCTTCCAAGGGCTGTCCCAGGGAAGAGGGTGCGGATTTATTCTCTGAAGGTAGGACAAGAACCAATGAGTGGAAGCAAACTCAAAATAAGACTAATAAAGTTATCTAAACTCAAAGAATGTTGTGACCACAAGAGCTGTGAAGCAGTGGAACATCCTGCCTCCTGATGTTGGAGGTGGGGGGTCCTTTACTGGAGGTACTCAAGGTTGGACAGCCATTTTTCTGAGGTGGTTTGAGGATTTGACTAGAAGACATCCAAGGTCCTTTTCAACCCTATGGTTCTAGATCAGTGTTTCTCAACCTTAGCAACTTTAAGACGTGGACTTCAACTCCCATGGACATCACATGGCTAATATCACTGACCTCCAATCAGAAAACTTGAGCTGTGAGGGGCCAGTCAAGCATTCTTGGCATGCTTTTTGAAATCTCTTTTTTCAACTATTCTGGTAATCGTTTATGGGTAGTCTTTGACTTAATGGCCATTCGTTTAGCAACTCAAGTTACAATGGCACTGAAAAAAGTGACTTACGACTGGTCCTTGTACTTACAACTGTCACAGCGTCCCTGCAGTCAGGTGATTAAAATTCGGGCACTTGGCAACTGGCACATATTTATGACAGTTGCAGTGTCCCAGGGTCACGTGATTGCCATTTGTGACCTTCCCACCCAGCTTCTGACAAGCAATATCAATGGGGAACCGCATGATTTGCTTAATGACTCTGGCAATTCACTTAATGCCCACTGCAAAAAATCTCATAAAATTGGGTGCGGTCACATGATGCTTTGCTTAATGACTGCACCGCTTAACAGTGAATTTTCTGGTCCCTATTGTCATAAGTCAAGGACTACCTGTAGTCAGATGCTGGGGAATTTGGGGAGTCCAAATGAAGCAACTCTAAAAAGTGTTGAGCCTAATTCATTCCTGATGACTTTATGAATGAGGAAATGTCATTTGTTTTGACGTTGTTACAGAAATAGTTTGCATATTTATTCAACTTAGTCCAATTAGTTACATATGTCACCTTCTAGGATGTTTTTCAACCTTCCAATCTAAGATTTCCTAGTGGTCTCTCATCCAAGGACTAACCCTGTGGGAACCTGTTTGGCATTATACATCTATAAGAGCCAAGGTCAGCTGGATTTCCTTCACGAATTTAGCTGCCTTTTAAGAAGTTCATCTCAACTAGTAACCAGTCTCCCAGGTTAAGATGGGTGTTGAGCTTCCGTGGATTGTTTTTATTATACTGTATGTTTTCTGGAGTGTGTGGTTCTTCCCCCCCGCCCAATGTTACGGATTTCCCCCTTTTATTTTTAATTGAAAGCCACCCTTTAAAGGGCAGCCTCTAAATTTCAATCAATCCTTGCATAGTCTTCAGCGTGTGACTGTGATAAGTACAGACTTTGCACTGCAACACTGAATTCTGCTGCCGGGAATGCGGGCGCGACTGTATCGTCTGCGTGATTGAGCATCTGGGAAGGATGCGATCAATAAAACGTAATGATTGGCTCCAGAATCTGAGTCTTTCCTTTTTTCCTCCCTTTCTCCAAGAATGCTCGATGATTGTGACATCAGCTGCAGGACAGGTTCTGACAGTTGGGCTCAGGCTACGCTCTGGTTTGTGTCGGGCTGTTTGGGAGATGTAATTTAACTCAGGGAAATTGAAGATCCTTGGGTGAGTAGGCAAAAGGTGGTTTCTCTGATCCAAACCATGAACGAGCATCTCATCTGGAATCCTGGATGATGCTGTGACCCCATTAGAATTCTGGATAATGTGTTGATTTCGCTTTTTTTAATCAACATTTTCTAAAGGTTAGCACACCGTGGTCTCCTGGGGCTACAGTTCGAAAGAAGCTGGAGATGAGGAAATGGATGGTGGTTGCTCTTTCATTGATTTTATTAATTGCACTTTATAGCCAATGGGTTCCACCACGTTCATTGTGTGCTTTATTTTAAAATATTCAGCCCTGCCTTTCTTCCCCAAGCCCTTTGTCAGGGTGCTGCTTTCCTGGTACATGTTAACAAATGGCTTCTCAAGAGAGGAGTGGTCATTTTGCAAAACAAAGTAATAAAAGACAATTCCTTCAAATAAAGTAAAACAAAAAGATCACAAAGACATAAATCTGCAGAGGCGATAAAAATCAGCTGAAGATCCCCAGGAAATAAATATTCATGGCCTGGTATCAAAAATTAGGAGCATCCTTAGAAAGTATCTTAAGATACTTAAGATGCTGTTAAAGAATAAGGTTGCTCTAGAGGAAGACCTCATGTGTCCAAATAAGGGGGGGGGGAGAAACAAATTGATTTTGGGTTCTGGGGACCTCGGGGTATATCCATGCCAGTTTGCCAGCCTTGCAAGGCAGTCCAGGCAAGAAGCATACCCAGAAGTACCAGCTCTATTATTGTAAGATTACATTAACAGAATCTTGCAAGTCTGAAAGGACATCTCTCCCCCCGTCTCCTTTTCAGCTCAAGAAACTCGGGTCCCTTCTGAGATGTTTGCCATGTCCCCATTCCTTTGGTGGGCTCAGCTGCCGCTTATCCGACCATTGTCTAGTCTGTGGCTCTTCCTCCTGTCTCCCAAGGTCATTCCCACATGCCATTACACATTTCTTGGCAGCAGTACAGACTTGGTCTTTATCTTCTGCTGGGATGGGGGTTTTTTTCTTAGTGGTCTCCCTGTGATGGAATGGACTTATGAAGGCCATGCTCAGGGAGATAAGCGTGTTCTTAGCCCCCAACAGGTGCGTGGGAAGTTCAAGATGAGGCTGGCACCCCCCTAAGGAATTCAGTGTTGTGGCTGGCTGGCTTGGGAACTAGGGTTCAGTCTGATGAGATTGATGTCCAGTTCGGCCCAAAGAACTCCACGAGACAATGCAAATACAGTTCTGTTGCGTTTATCAGCTTCAACCTCAAGACAGAATCTCACCAGACTGAACCAAATTCCCCAAGCCAGCCAGCCACAACACCGTGAATTCCTTAGGGAGGTGCCAGCCTCATCTTCTT